TATATTTATATTTATATATTATATATAATATTTTATGTAGTGACTAGGGAGCATCACAGCACTCTAGGAATCTGCAGCACATCCTGTGCTATTTTGCATAAAGTTAGCATATCATCAACAGCAGCTTATTCTGCAAGAATAGCTTGTCCATAGCACTAGGAATTTTTTTTTAGATATTACAGGTGACCTATTTAGGGGCTATTTAAGGGACTTGCTCCATTTTCAAACTGCTGCCAAAAGAGAAAGTCAGGGTGAAATGAAAGCTTCCAACACAGAACAGAAACATGTTTAATAGAGCTTTAAAAGTAATTTCTCCTTTCTATGAAAGTTATGTTTAAGATTAAAAGCAAGAGTTGGTTTTTTGTGTTTTTTGTTGTCCTTGTCGTCGTTTTTTGTTTTGGTTTTTGTTTGTTTGTTTTTGCCAGGAGCCAAAGCATGGTGAAGATTTACAAAAACTACCTCCGCCGTGAAGTGTCAAAATCAGACTTCCCTAAAATGAAGTGATGTATCAGCCTTGTACATGTACATATGGTCCACAAACTGAGAATCAAATCCAGCTGAGATAATTTTAAATACCATGAGACAGAAAAACTAATGTTCCAGTTGCTGGACGTAATGGAGTGTATCCAGTGGTAAGCCCAGTTGCTCTACCAGCCAAACAGTTTGCTTTTTAACCCAAGCAAGGGTTGACCTTTTGGGACCTGTGCAGAGTTTTGCCCTGCTGCACTCAGACTGCAAGGAACCAACCTCACAATTATTTCTACAAATGTTTTCATCAGAACTGCCAACCTCTTTGTGTTTTCCAGCTTTAACTTCATTGTCCTCTGTCCCAGCTGGAGCTGTGTAATTAAGGTCCATGTCCTGAACAGAATCTAAAATGTGTCCGAGATGTGACTGTTGTTCGATAGAATTCAGGTATTTAAGCACATCTTCCTCATACCTTCCAATCACATGGAGAAGATTATTTATCTTACTTAAGGCAGAATCATGCCCATTAAGATGGCACCAGGATAAGAGAGCACTGAAAAACGAGGAACAAAACAAAACAAAAGTGATTACATGTATCCATACAGACTTCCAGTTGCTGAATGAAGATAGCAACGTGACAAGATATCTATACCTTATAAACATAGATGTTTCATTCACACTTCCTGGGAAATTCAAACAACAGAACTGAATATTAATCTTTAAGATGTAGATTCAGATAATTTTTAAAGAGCAGCTGAAGGAGGATTTTAAAGAACTATCACTCTGCACCCAGGTAGGCAATTCCCTGTATTCAAGACCTGAGAATTCTCAAATTGCACATTTTGCACAGATTCACAATGCACTTTTTCTATTTTTTTTTTCATTAAAACAAGCCAAAAACTGTTTGCACACTCCCTCCATACACGCCCTCTTTAAGAAGTTTGTAACTTACTTCAGGGTTCCTCTGAACCGGCCACAGGCAACCATCATCTCAGCACTGTGTCTGTAACCTTGACTGAAGCCTTGCTGGAGTGCCACTACTTTCCCAGCTTCAATTCCATCCCTGTAACCTTCCTATAATAGGAGTGGCGAGACAGGTTGGTCATAATGTGAAAAATTTTACCTCTGACAATTTCCTAACGATAAAAAAGTTTAAACAAGTATTCAGCCTCTTAAATTACAGCTTCTAGGTTTGAACATCCCTCCCAGCTACAGCTCCACTGCCAAACCAAAACATGCTTTTTTCAGTGAATTATGATTTACTGATCTGTAAGATCCAGTTCTTTTCCAACAGGATCACAAGCAGGGTCGAAAGAGAACAATTCTCTTCTGAAAAATTCCCTGAAAAATAACCTCATATAGTTTTCTAGACATTTAAGAACAGGCTGCAAAACCTCCCTTTTAGCATAGGTACTCTCTTATCCATAATCCATTACTTTTCACAAAAATAATTATTGAGCCTTGCTATTCTGTTTGCTGGATGTCACTTAATTCAAGTGTCACATAGGAAGAAAGATGGTGATGGAGTGAGCCACATATACACAGAACATTTTGATGGCTTTCTGTAAGCAGCAGCTAATAACTGTAATGCAAATTAATTTATTTATATTCTAACCACATGACCATATAACGTAAAATAATTCTTAACTTTTTTCACACTAAAATTGCACGTTGTAAGAGTGAAAACTTCTATTTGCCCATGAGAGAAGAAAACTGGTGGCCTTGCTAGAGTAAGAGCCAGAAACAAGAATGTTCCTTTATTTTGTCCAACACACAGCTCTAGCTTCAATAACATTTTATGACTTTGCAGTATCTACTTGTAAAATACCAGAGGTATTTGTGTAGGAACACTAAACCTTAAGAAAACCAGTCTTTCAAAGGGACTCGGATGCAGAAAACTTTTCCTTGGAGAATAATACAGCAGCTCTGTTGTAATACCTATCCTTCCTCATCAACAGCTTCCATTCATGTTCTTCAGCCAAATGCTGTGAGCAGATGGGCCCTACTGGCCCCACTCCGAATGAGAATGTATCTGTTGAAGTAACCTGGGTTTATGTACTTGTTTCCCTCTAGGATTCCAGGGAGGGAAGGGCTGTGGAAACCAGCTTTCAAAAAATATATTTTTCACTAGGAGAATAAATAAGCCAAAAAATTACCCAGACTGCAACATCCAACTGTGGTTCCACACGGAGTCATACATATCACATCTGACTGATGAAGAACTCTACTTAAAAATCCAAACATCTCATATTTCTTTATTAGCACTGTTCAGCTGTGTTGCCCTGCATTTACTAGTGGTATACCTAGAAGTATGAAGCTAATAGCTCGCATTGGAATTTAGCACTGCCTTCTACAAATGCACATGGTTGTACAGCGACAGCCAGTGTCTTTTGGCAAGACAGTACTTTGCTCTGATAGACTACTAGGTTGGAGTTCCTGTAAATCCATGCTACATTTTCCTGACATTCACAGGAAACTAAGCCACAATAATTTTTCAGCAGCCACTCTTAGTTTTCCCTTTGAATCAGCCATATGTATATTAAAGTATATATCAGTAAATCTAAAATCTAAAAGACTTAACCATCTTTTTCGTTGCTATATAAATACCTTCAATCTTTTTTTCATGGTGCTGTTCCATTCTTTTTGTAGTAGATACATCTCATCTGCATCTTCATCAAATACATCCTCATTGGATTGTCTGACTGCAACTTGTACCCAGGACATAACAGCAGTGATGATGATGACTTCTGTTTATGTGGTAAAAAAAATGCTACAAAAGTCCCTCTGGCTACATGTTAGATTAGAAGTATAGGCAAAAAACAGGAGTTCTGAAGAGAAGTCATATATGAAGCTGATAATTCATCCTGTACATTCACTTCCACATGGAAAATGGATGCTGTTAATCATCAGGGTGTATCTGTCAAGAGAAGACAGATCATCACTAGTAAAGCAACTTCTGTAATTTATGGAAACAACTTAAAGACAGTAGTTTCTTCCTTTCTTATGGCCATGACACACAGATGCATGACAAATGAGTATTTCTAAATGTTACTAGTATGTGAACAGCAGGCAGAAACAACTTTAGGACCTGATAGCAGCTGACAAATAGTCCCATATAGCTTCCATGCACTGCATTAAGCTATACACAGGAGTAATTGCCTGCAGGTAGTAACTGGCAAGAACTTTCACCCTTGATTTTCAGTTTCCTGGTTATGCCAAATACTTAACTATCTTCTAAATCTTGAATAAACATACTCCTTTATATTTTGAATAAGGAATTAGCTAGTTCTACTGCAGAGGGAAAAAGACTGTTCCACTGAAGAAAACTTCGAGAGGTCTCTCACAATTAATTTACTGCATCGATGGAAATTCTCACACCCCATAAATGCCGTTTCTTGCGGAGGCACCAGCGGCTCTCAGGCAACCGAGTGCCGTAAGAGCAGTTCCGCGCCCGGCCACGCTGATTTTCCTGGGACATAACTGCCTGCAGTCTGCAGGCCCCTTCCCTACCTTGCGGCAGGCCAGAGGTCCCCCCCATCGCCCCCACACCCTGACCAAATCTCGGCTGAGACCACAGACGCGCCCTCCCCGCCGCGACTGCGGCTCCGGCCAGGCCGCGGCCCGGCATTTCACGGTCAGCCGCTGGCCACTCACCTTCCCACACGCCGCTGCGGTGCCGGAAGCTTTCCTTCTACCTCACCCGGCGGAAGACACAGCCTCTCCTCAGCTAGCCCCACCTCACCTCTCCCGATTGCTCTCTGTCCCCTCACCAAGGCCGCTGCGCCACGGCGCTCCCACCGCTACCGGCGGGGCGTCCTGCGTA